TCGTTCTGCAGCCGGTGGTTTGTAGCTAGCCCAAATTTCAGACATAAGTTTATTCCTGTCCAAAGCGAGCAGAGCAGAGCACTTCAAGAAATGCTCACCTTTCTGAGAGGCAGAGCATCAGGGAAGCTGGCGGTACAAACTTGGGACCAGTTCACCCATTAGGACAGGGCTAGTAGTTTCTATGGAGCTCACATCTTGAGAGCATATTTGAGTTTAATCATTTTATTTTAATTTTTTGCCTCAATTAAGTGTATTTACGTGACACATTGCTTTTTAGTTGAGACAGTCACTTGTTAAGATGCGCTAGGTTAATTCCTTTTAGCAGTGTTGGCATACCCCGACAAGAAGAAGATTTGTATTGACTTCTGACAATAAAAACAACATAATATGTTGCAGGAGGAAAAACCAAACATCAAGCTACCTTGCCCTCTGGCTGGATAACTTTCAAGCATAATTACTCTCCATTTTTTTTCTGTGTGCAAACCTTCAGTTTACATTTTCAAAAGTCCTTGAACTGGTAGGAAAAAATCTAAGCACTAGGGCTAACTGTTGTTATTACCAGAAAGGCAGGGAAGTGCTATGCTGGAGAATGAAGAAGCCGTTCACAGTGTCACTCGTGTTACACAGTGGTCTTGTCAAACAGGACGTATTAGAAACTGAGGGTGCAAGTATATGGCTGTGTTAAATGTGAACCTTCTAAAATACCGGTTGCTGTGTGTTGTCACCACTGAGTTGCTGGAGTGGGTGGGCCCTTCTCGTATAGGAAATGTATTAAGAATGCATGCGTAAGGAGCATGGATGCTCAAAGCGTGGCACTTCACACACTAATTCCCTTGCCACAGGCCAATTCCAGAAGGCATTAATCCCGTTTTTTTTCTGAGAAAGAAGTATTACATGTGACTTGTCCAATAGGAAAAAGCAGGTTGCTGAAAGAGCCAGTGTGAGACCTCTAGGCTTCCTCTCCCAGGCCCTGAACGCAGAGTCCCTTATGCACCTCTCTGTCTCCTGACTCATTTTCCCTCCCATTCCCAGTACGGAGGTTTGTTTCCAGAACGGAGCATGGCTCTTGCAATTTCTTGAGCGCGCTATTTGTAATGTGACTTGTCCAATAGGAAAAAGCAGGTTGCTGAAAGAGCCAGTGTGAGACCTCTAGGCTTCCTCTCCCAGGCCCTGAACGCAGAGTCCCTTATGCACCTCTCTGTCTCCTGACTCATTTTCCCTCCCATTCCCAGTACGGAGGTTTGTTTCCAGAACGGAGCATGGCTCTTGCAATTTCTTGAGCGCGCTATTTGTAGTGGAAGGAAGGAGGCTGCTATTTTTGTATGGTGTCCTCGTTCCTCAGGCGTTAGTCCTCTGATGTCAGCTCTGCGCTGAAAGAGGAGAGTCAGGAACTTTGAGCACCTGTTAGCTCTGTCAGCACCCGGTTTAAGAGATATGGATAATCACAAGCCGTTTCTTTGTGTTCCTCATGGAAGATGCACTGCAACTGTCTTTGAGGGCATTGTAAAAAGCAGATAATGAGTGAACTCTGAGCAGTACTTGTTCCATTACTTATTCTCACTATCTTTCATGTCTCTCTGATAAGCCTAGAAATGAGAACTGAAAAATTATTTGTAGGAGCCAATAGTAGATTCTGATACATTTTTGCACTATTTAAGTTTCAGAATTCTTGTGCAATATGTTCTTTGTTACATAAGCAGGCCAGTGTTCCCATCCTGTTTGCCTGAGATGTCCCATATTATCCGTGTGCTTTGTGCTGTCCATTAGGAGTGGGAGTGAATGAGCGGTGGTAGCTGTTGCATCAAAGCATTGGCATAACCTCTGAGGAATGACACCTGAAAAGCCAAACCAGAGAGCGCAGTGGGATCACTGCCCTCTGATACTTTGAAGAAGTCCTATGGTCTCTCTCTAGTGCTGTTTTTCTACTTAGTTTTCTTGGGTATGCAGGTTTGAAGGCCATCTGGTTGCTTTCTCCTTGAGATCTTGTCAATATTGGTAAAACATAGAGAAGAGGCTTTAGGTAATGATTATGGATGCATGAAAACAGCATTTGCTTCGGCACTGCCCTAGTCTTGCCTGTATTTCTGTACATGTAAGTACCCAATCGTCCCAGCTCTTGGGAATTAATTCTCTCTTCCTTGTGTGGCTGTCAACGACTACATGCCATGGCCAGCTTTTCAGAATGAATCGTGGCTGTCTGAGCAGGGTAGGAGATTTTAATTCTGACTCAAGATTGCATTGCCTGCAGAGTTGCTGTTACAGCTCTCTGGCAGTTATTAAATGTACACCTTAGAGAGAGCAATCTGACACCAGGTACTTTTCCTGATTCATTTGAGCAGTCATGATTATGTAATTATATCAGAGTAAGCTATTTTTCAGTTCTGTGGGTACTAATTACCTGATGAAGTCCCTGAAGACCCATCTGTTTAACTTGTAGGGAACAACTTGTAGTGAACTTCTGTAGTTCCAGTTTCCACATGTGCAAAACATTTTACTACACTACACTACACTTGATCTTTTATTAGTTTAGGTTTTAGCTGAAATACTTTGTATCACTAAAGCTTCCTGGTTGGGAAATTGCAATTATTAATGTACAAAATGGTAGCATTGTAATTTAGAAAAGGCAGGAATGTCAGGTTCATCATGACATTTTTATACCCTCTCTATTAGGGAGAAAAAGGTCCAAAAAAAAAAAGGGGGGGGCGGTGGGGAGGCATTTTTTTTTTTCTCTTGACTCAGTTGACTTCTGCAAGTACAGAACCATGCAAGACTTAAACCAATGCTTAGTTCTGCAATTTGGTATCTTACTCTGTATCAAAGGTGGCTTGCTGAAACAGTAAAAAAAAACAGGAATCTTTAAATCCAAACTATGCACTTATCTCCTGCATCCAAATCAACTAATTTCCCCTGCTTACAGTTTGGGACAGAAATAAGGTATTTTTGGAGGACTTTTAGAAAAGTACAGACATCTTTTGTTTTCTCTATGCCTCAAACACACTGTTTACTGTGATTTATGTCTGCTTGTGGTCCAAAGAGTTTTTCCTGACACAAGCCAGCTCCTTATATGGTGACTGGAATGTCCTTTAGCCAAAAGATAAACTATATTAAAAGTAGCTAGAACAGTATTATTTTTCTGTCACTTTTTCCTTGGGACTAATTTTAGAGTAGTCTCAAAGATGTTATATGACTGAGGAAGGTAGGATTCCTAAGAGGAACATCTAAGCATGAACACTATCCTATTGGAAAAGGTTGGGGAGCCCTAGACTGGGGCTTTGGTTGTGCCAAATTGTCGTGCTTCCAAGATGTGTCATATGGGAGTAAAATATCAGCTACTGCCTCATTTGGATTGTCCCTTGGAGGCAAATGGAAATAGGAAGTTCTTTTCTCCTTGCAGTCGCTTGGACTTCCTATCACAGATGAGCAAATACAGGAGATGGAAGCAAATCTAGACAACATAGACTTCAAGATGGCAGCAGAGGAAGAGAAGAAGCTGCGACATGATGTGATGGCCCATGTTCACACCTTTGCCCACTGCTGCCCAAAAGCTGCAGCCATTATTCACCTCGGAGCCACTTCCTGTTATGTAGGCGATAATACGGTAATATAAAGCTGTTTACTGTAATCTTAAACAGTTTCCACTTTAATGCTTGCAGAGCTGATTGAAACAAAGCTGCAGTTGCTCACTTGATAGCTTTTTAATAAACTTTTCTATTCAAAATAACACTCATTTTTTTCAGATATTTTTATTAGCTTTACTGTTCAAGTTAATTCCCCTTTATCCTAGCTACTCTGGGAAAGAAAGCTCTCTAGCTTGCTTCCTTTTGATACGAAACAAGATTCATGAGCACACTAACTGTTCCCTAAGCTCTGTTTTCATGTTAAATATTCAAAGCAAAAAGATATTCGTGATCTTGAGAGCCTAAAATAGATGAAGAACTTGGTGTGCCAATGGAATAAGAGTTCACTGGTTTGCAAGATCAGGCTGCACCTAATATAAGTAGCTCATGAGCTTTCAATTGCTTGGAATATCTGTTTTCATTCAGGATAAATGATTTCAGTGACCAAGAGAATGGATAAATAAAAATGGTTTACCGCCATCAAACAGAACTCTGTAAAGTGTGAAAAACCTGTGGAAAACTGAAGCCTAATTTCCAGTTGTCTTGCCTTTTCCCATATCAGTCATTGGAGCTTCTCTATCCTCTTTTGTCCTACAAGGAGCTGCTGGGTGATTATTTTTACCCTACTCCTTCTCAAGCATGTTTGGCTTTTAAGTAATCCACCTTCCTTGTGATCCTTGGGACCTAGGTGTACTTGAGTCCCCACAGAAGGATATAGAGAACTGCTGCCTGACAGTCTACTTATTATCCTGCTGCCTTTAGCATCAGTGCTGATTTTTTCCACCGGTGATGAACGACTTACTTCTGATGTCCACAGAATGGGAAACTATCTCAAAACAAGCATTTTTTTTGCCCAGTAGATGGATCTGCTACTGCCCAATATGATTTTTCTGGGTAGTACAGAGCATGATGATGGATCCAGGATTTTTGCCAGATGTTCCCTGACATATTCTGATTCAAGAAGGGAAACAGAGGTTTTCTTGTAAGAGACTTCTGAGCGGGGAGAGCATTTTAATTATCTGTGTCCTGTCTATGCTGAGAGAGAAGGCATTGAGTCATGTCCTTCAAACTTGAATGGGTGGTATTGGACACGGCCCAAATTTTCTTTCTTCTTCCAGGATCTGATTGTCCTCCGCAATGGGTTTAACCTGCTGCTACCCAAGGTGAGAAGAGGGTTGTGCACAGCATCTCTGAAGTGGGCAGCACTGATGGCATGTTAATAGACTGTGTTTAATGTGGATTTTCCTACACCATGCTGGGGAGGTGTCTAGGGAGGTTAATCACCACGGAATGAAGTTATCTTCTCCTCAAAGCTTGCCCTTCCTTTTTTAGTCTTTCCCAAAGCTTTTTTTTTTTTTTTTTCCCCTCACTAAGGAAATTAGAAGCATCACTTTGCTGTTTACCAGTTGATTTTCTGTGCTATAGGTGCCAGTTTTAGAAAACTGTTTTACTTTTAGGACCAGCTTAGGCCTCTTTGTACTATGTTCCTAGGAGTGCATATAGGCATTCATGAAGCTATACAGTATAGTTTTCTGAGGTCAAATGTCAGACTGTGGGAGTGTAGTGCAGTATTGCCTGGCTGACCTGATGAATTGTAGGGGGGAGACAGAAAGAAAAAAAAAAAGGCTTGGGGATAAAGCAGCTGCAGGGCTGGGATGGGAGTGAGGACTGGGCTGGGCTGGGCTGAGCTGAAGGCCACTCCCTGTATCATTCCATACTTGAGGTTTATAGCAAGAAAAGTTATGTGCGTTCCCTGAAAAATGCAGTACACCATGTATAAAAAAAACTGCAGTATACCTCCCTTAGAGAGAGATATTCAAACACTTTGCGCTTGTTTTCCTCCCTGTTTTCTGACAGCCTCGTTTGTGCTTAAGCCCACCAGCTTCTGCTTCTTCCCCCCTGCCCTCACTCTGCCTCTTTTCTCTCCTGCCTGCGCCACCAGCTCGCCAGGGTGATCAGCCGGCTGGCCGACTTTGCTGAGAAGTACGCTGAGCTGCCTACTCTGGGCTTCACTCACTACCAGTAAGTAGCCAGAAGCCTTTGCTTACATTTTGTTGGCTTTGCCTTGGATGAATTGACTAGGTTCTGCTCTTTCTTTCTCCCTTCTTTTTCCCATTTCTTATCAGCAGCAGCTGGTGCTTCTGAACATCATTAAGATGTTGTGCGAGGTTGAGAAAAACGGCATGTGATTAACTCTAGGCTTATATCAGGTAATTGAACTGTCAGCAGTTGTTTTAATACAGTTGCATAAGGAACAACTAACTTGCTAACGCAGATGTGTAAATTCTGGGCAATTTCAGAAGACGTGATTGGATCTTCCCATCATGTTTTTGTAATGCTTGTTTTTCTATCCATGAAGTCAGCTTTAACTGCAGCTTAGAAAAGCTTGATGCTGTCAGGAAGAAAAAAGGCTATTCAGTCTATTAATGCAACTTAAGATTTCTTCTGAAGCACAAGATCCTTCAGTTTTCATATATCCATAAATGCATCCCTGGGAAGAATCAGGAAGAATTTCACCTATTTGGGGACAACAATTTTCGGTTTCTTGGGAAAAATACATTTTTCGTATAGCACCGCTGGTATTGATTGATTTTTCTGAGGAACAACAAGATCTGGATAGGTCTGTTGCTTGAAAGATAGACTAACTTGCTGTTTCAAGGAAGACAGTTGTTTGCTTTTAGAGGCTTCAAAGTTTGAGGTAAGCCTGGATTATCTGCCTCTGGTGATGCAGAACACTAGGGCCAGAGCACTTAAGCACAGATTATGTCTAACTGGATGTCCTACACTTCAAAACGACTCCTAAGAAGAGAGGAGCATAAAGGTCAGGTCCCTGACTGACTGACCGACTGATGGAGTTGACATGGAATATACAGCAGCATCAGTTCTAGTGTGTATCTCTCTTCATCTGCAGGTTGTCAGAGGAGTATTCTCCCGGCCCAATTCTATCTTGTCTTTTGGAAAGGGTGCGAAGGAATATGTGTAAAGTATAGCACTTTTGAAACGGCAAAGCTCATTCTGATAAATTTGAAATAGTTTAACTTCCAGGCTCATTGTAACATCATCATTTTCTCTGCAAAGCATTTGCAGTGTGATTGAAATTGCAAATAGTCATTTCAAGGTAGAAGACTCACCAAAACATCCTGGATAACAAGATTGTTAATTACCACGCGTTTGCCCAAAGGCTGAGAAATGCCCTTTGTAGATAAGGAGTAGCCCCTTAGAAGAGCAGTGATCATTCAAAATCACAGTGTGCACGTGAATATTTCTGGTTCGAGAATGCTATGTCAGAACTCGGCGAGCTTCACATTAGCCTATACATTAACCTCTGTGCCCTTGACTGCCAGCGTTAGGGGAGCAGCTGAGATGTCCTCGCTGGCCCCACCAGCCCCTGGTCCCCGCTCCTTGGCATTGGCGCCGGGGGGGCGGCAGGGGGCGCCCCCGGGGCGCCGAGAAATTCCAGCTCCTGCAGCCGGAGGCCGGGAAAACGTAGAGGGCACAGGGAGGTGGCAGTTTCCAGCTCTTTGGTAGCTTTTAAAAATAGATCCAACTCTTGCATTGAAGTCTCTGCCTGAGACGCTTCCATTTGAAAGAATTCTAGGGAAAAAAACACAGTAAAATCAGTTTTAGATTATTTGAATAATGGGCCTCCAGTCACTTTCTTTAAAGAATTTTTTTAAAGCCCAGTATGTAAACAGATACCTTCAGATAGCTGTTCTTACTTCTTTCTCCCTCGCATAAGTGTAAAGGAATTTAATCTCCTTTCTAACATGCACAGAAACTAAGGTTACTATTTGCTGTCACTGTAGCTACATCTATTTCCTGAAAAGAATGATGATATATTCTAGTATAATTTACTGGAGTCATATGTGTGCTATTACTGCTTCTTACATAAACCAAGTCTTTTTAATTCCTGCTTGGAGGAGTCCGAGGGAGACAGATGTGCAAGCAAGCTTCAGCAGTGGCCTGAGCAGCTAAGGGTAGTTCTTGTACTGCTGAGCAGGTTATCCATGAATTACTTTCTACTCTTGCTTATTTTTAGACCTGCACAGCTCACCACTGTGGGCAAACGCTGCTGCTTGTGGATTCAAGACTTGTGTATGGATCTGCAGAAGTTGGAGCGAGCTCGGGATGACCTGCGCTTTCGGGGTGTAAAAGGCACCACTGGCACTCAAGCCAGCTTCTTGCAGCTCTTTGAGGGAGACCATAGCAAAGTAAGTCAGCCCAGCCAGAGGACATCCAGTTTGCCTGTTCTCCCCACAGAATGCTGTTGTGTTTCGGGGAATATGGAGATTCTGGCATCAAGTTAGAAAGAAAACTGTGTTCCCCTGAGGGCCCAAACTGCATGAAAACAAACAGAATTTAGGGGTGTGGGTACTTCCAGGCAAGGATGAGGTTTATTGGCAGTAAACCAAGAAGAGCAGAGCATCCTTTTTGCTGTTGCTGCCCTCCTTCAATCATTGCATTTTGAGGTCCCATTTGTTTTGTTTCTTTCCCTCCTGAGGTGGAAGAACTGGACAGATTAGTGACTGCAAAGGCAGGATTTAAACGGTATGTAACAAGCATGCTTAGTAACCCAAATTTGGTGTTAACAAAGTGTGACTCCTGCTGTCCATCTTCACCCGCATTCTGCTAACTGCCGATCTGAATCTGTACTGCTGATGATTTTATCCCCTTCAGTCTTCCCAATTGCAGCTTTCTGCGGGACACTCCTAAATAGGGCACTTTACTTGCCTTGCTATTAAAGTGCAGCTGTTGTTTTTCCTCTGCTGCTCTGGTTCCACGTGCGTGCTGCCCTCTAGGAAATCAACAGGCTGCCTCCGAAGGTGTTCCCAGCAAGGAATAATGACAGTCTTGTCATCTGCTTGAGCAGACACTGTCACTGCTTTCTCAAAGTCATGCAATACCATTGCATATCCCCAGAGCACTTGACTTACTGTGTGCTTATTTCTAGAGCTTACATAGTCACGGGGCAAACCTATAGTCGCAAGGTGGATATTGAAGTCATGTCTGTGCTGGCCAGTTTGGGAGCATCTATACACAAGGTGAGTACCATAATTGTATGTAAGAGGGAGAAGGGGAGGCATTATGGATCTTGAAGGCAAGGAGCTTGTTGTGCACAATGCTTCCCTCAAAAGACATTAATTGCTGTTTGTTATTCAGCTGTTCTCTTTATGATTGTGTATATTCATCACTAAGTGCATTTCTAGACCACACAAGATCCTAAGACCAATGGTAAACGTAACAAGTTTGCTGAACAGATGCTAAGATGGGCTGACAATTACCGCACCAGATATTAGTCTAATCTGTGCTAAAATTGATCCAATTAGAGTAAATGTCTTTCCTAGTGTTAGTGGTGTATGAGTTTTTCACCGTTTGCTTCCAGGTAATTGGTTCTCTGATAATGGTGTTAGTCTCTGTGTCCTTGTGGATTTTTTTCATTGATTTATGTCTATTCTCTCCATCCTTCCTCTTGGCCCAAGTGATCTGTGGCATTTTCTTCTTAGTTTCATAGGCTGCCTGGTTCAGTGAGCACACCTTATCTGTGTTTATAAATCACTGTGTAATTTTGTTACGCTTTTTCAGTGTTCTCTCCTGGTATCTCTTCCATTCCCTGCAAACATCTGCTCTTCTTAGAATCCTGTTGTGTTTTGATGTGGTAGTTTTCCTTTTTTCTTTATGTTCTCTTTACTTGGGGTTTTTTAGGCCCACACTAAGAACATTTTTAGGCCTGAATTGAAAGCTTCAGTATAATACTCTCTTCTAGAAGATCTGCGGCCTTTCATTCTATGTTGTAAAGCTATGCCAGAAAGCGTGATTGAAGTGTCTTTTTTTTTATCTGTTTTTTCACTGTCTTGATAATTTACATCTTGGACGCAAAGACAAACAAGTCTTTGGGCACACAGAGAGGAATTCATTCTGCCATATGATAGTTTGCTTCTCTGTATTAATTGCTTGGTTTTCTCCCTAGATTTGTACTGATATTCGTCTTCTGGCCAACCTGAAGGAGATAGAGGAGCCTTTTGAGAAAGACCAGATTGGTAAGGGATGGCATTTTGGGGGCCATAGCTGTCCCTAGTCATATCTGTTACTGCAGCCATTCTGCATTTTATGATTAGTTTTGATCTCCACTTGACAGAGCAAAAGTCCGTGTAAGCATCTGACTTCCCATGGCAGTGTTATTCAGCAGCGTTTGACACCCTGTCTGCTCAAGTCGCCGTGGGTGATAGTATAGAGAGGTGTTGCTAAATTCTGCAGACTAAAAATTAAATAAATTTTATCTGCTTTGCAGAACTGCAGAATGTGTTCAAACGCTTTGCTCCCCACAGCTGGATGATCTAATCTGCAGGAGGAGGATGCTGGTGTATCAGTGTCATTATTCCATTTTGTCCTTCAGAAAACAGCATGTGCTAAGGCTCTAGAATAAAAACGATTCTTGATACAGTGTTGTTCCTGGGGGAAGGGCTTTTCTCTCTTTTTGCCTGAAGACACTCTTCTCGTGCCCTGCTGGCATCACCATCTCTTCTTACGCAGGTTCCAGCGCTATGCCTTACAAGAGAAACCCAATGCGTTCGGAGCGCTGCTGCAGCCTGGCCAGGCACCTCATGACTCTGGTCCTGGATCCCCTCCAAACGGCCTCCGTGCAGTGGTTTGAGCGAACGTTGGATGACAGTGCCAACAGGTTTGTTTAAATCACACAGTGGTTTTAATTCTTGGGCAATATGGTGCTTTGATATATTTTTAAAATACTATTCTTAAACTAAAACCGTAACTCTTGAACTTCAAGCTGGCAGTTACCACCTGCCAGCAGTCTCATTAGAGAGAATCTAGAGACTGTAAACTGATTTCCTCGCTCTTTAAGATCAGATCAAAACTGTTACTCTTTTTATAACATCCAGACCTTCTGCAAGGTAAACCAGCAGACTGAGAGTGATGCAGAAGCCATGGGTGATAAATTGCTCTTATAGTCTTTTCCTGTCGTTAACAACATGTTGCTACAGAATATCAGTTCTCACACTTCTCAAATTTAGTTTTTCTTTCTGTCTGTTCTGAAATGGATCTTCTTATTCTTCTTCACATATTGCAGAATAATTTAGCATTTAACATACAATCCTTTTATCCTCCAGTTAGTCTGAAGAAACTTATTTCAATCTCTTTGTAAAGTATTGTTCTTTACTAGAAGTTGTCCAGACACTAAAGAGCACAAAACATTAGTACTGTGAGTAAAGTTTCATGAGAACCTATGCATGTCTTCTAGCTACTGCTGAGCAAACCTGGCATTGCTCTCTATTTCTTCATTACAACTGTTTTGAGATGAGCTGGACTTACTTTATAATAATTATAATTTACTTTATAACAATTATAGGTATTATAAATTAATTTAATTGCTTCCAACTTAGAGTTGGCATTAAATTTGCACAGTTCTCATACCTTTGAAATGCTTTGTTATTGAAGTAGTCTTCTGTTATAGAATTTGGTCTCTAAGAATCTTAGAAACCTCAAGATTTCTAAGGTGCAGGGCCTGAGAACCAATGAGTGATAGCAGTTTTGGCTGTAGACTGGTAATCAGATTATTGATTAGATTGTTATTTTAAAGATGTCCTTACAAACAAAAATTCTGCGTAAAATTCTGTGAAGGAGCAGAAGACATTTTTCCCCAAATTACTTGACTCCACAGCTGTAAGTGTTACTTTTTTCCTTAAGAAAAAAGCTTCGTGCACAGCAGAAGACAATGCAAAATTGAAGCAGTTGGATGTTGGTTGATCTACTAGGTTTATTTCCCATAGATATCAGATGTTAAGATACATACTGGAATGTTCAAATTTAATTTCCACTTCACTGAATAAAAAAAGTTTTAACTTCACTGAATAAAACCAGTTATGAAATTCTGTGCTTGGGATTTTTCTTATCAAAGCTGAAGTGTAATTAGAGAAAAAACAAGCATATAACCTACAGAATAGCAAATAGGGTCCCTCTGAAGACATGATGATAGAATTTGGTGTCTTAACTGTAGCACAAGATTCAAGGTCTCTTTTGAGGTCTCCTCACTGGTTAGAGCTGCTGAAGTGCTGCACTCATGGGTGGGTGATCTGTAGTTGCTGCACAGTTACCCGGAGCCTTTTGCCTACTGCAGCTCGGCCCTGCTACCACTGTCCTTTCTCTGCTTTGTCTGGAGTCTCCCACATCTCTTAGAGGGAGCCGGCATCCACCTGTGACAGCAGGGTCTCGTGAGGGCCCCAACAAGCACGCTGATCCTTTTGGAAGCTCCCTGCAACCAGGCGCACCGTGAGCAGGCAGCAGGCCCTGCTGCTGCAGGGTAGGATCAGTAGCTAGGGCAACGTGGAACATGTTGTGGAGGAGATTTGCATGTGTTTGCTAGGTCTGAAATTTGCTGTCCTCTTTCCTAACTCTGTAATCATAGAAGGCTCCCTCCTGTTGAAGATAATTCAACGTGTGCTTTTATCCTTTCCCCTCCTGCCTTCTGCTCTCTCTACTGATCAGAGGAGCAAACACCCTCTCCCTTTTCCCCAGCTCAAGAGCTACAGCTATAAGATGTCCCTTAGCTTTTCTTTACGCAGCAAGAAGCACTTAGAAGGAACAGCTCCAGCTTTAGAGCTCAGGAGAGCTATCTAGAGACAGCTGCGGAAAGTTAAGAGCTGGATCTGAGAGAGCTGAGGTAGAATGGATTGTGGCTAACCGGGGCCCTGGGTATGTGTGTTTCATAGGCGTGTGTGTCTCGCTGAGGCTTTCCTCACAGCTGACATCATTCTGAGCACACTGCAGAATATCTCCGAGGGACTTGTGGTATATCCAAAGGTAAGCAGGAGCTAACTTGTGCTGTATTCTTGTTATTGCTGCAGCTATGCCAAAACACATGAAAATCCTCCCACTCAGAGGATTATGTTTTTGTCTGCTAGTGCAAAGGGTTTCTGAATTCAGCTCTCCTTTTATACTCTCTACAGTACAGAAATTAAATGGAATTCATTGAAGGCAAAAGATGGCTCAGAACTTCTCAAAGGGTTATTTTTCCTCTGAACTGCTCAGTGGATCTTACTGCCAAAACGTACTGTCAAGGGAGATGTCTTACAGTCCTATAATTTACCCATACTTAAAGGGGAAAAAGAAAAAAAAGTACATATTTTCTGCAGTGTTATTCCCCATGAGATTCAGCTTTTAAGTATCATCAGTTTCAATTCCTAGATTTCCAGAGCCAAGCTCAAAAAGGGAAATTATCTTTGCATCATTGTACAGTCTTTAGGATTCAAGACTTCAAAACTTCACCAGGAGCCCCACCATGACCAGTTTTCTGTTTTCTGGTTTTGTTTTTTGGGGGTTTTGTTTGTTTGTTTGTTTTTCAGGTGATTGCGAGGAGGATCCGGCAGGAGCTGCCATTCATGGCCACGGAGAACATAATCATGGCAATGGTGAAAGCAGGAGGCAATCGTCAGGTAGAAACACAGTTGAGAATATCTGTATTTGCTGCCCAGCATTTCCCTCCTGAGGAACAAAAGCTATCTGGGTTCTTCTCTGACTTTCTCTGACTCCCCTTTCTTTGTTCCCAGCCTGCTTCCACAAAGTTATTAATATTACACTGGTGCTGCAAACCCAGACTCTCTGAGAAGAGAGCAGTTGCGGAAATCCTTCTTTACTCTTAGAATCACTGTGTGTGTTGGAGCAAAAGTGTCTGACTGTGATGGAAAGAAAAATAGAGGCAGAGAGAGAGAGTGCAAGCTATTTTTATTATAGTAGATACCTGTGGGCATTTCTCTTTTTTTTTTCTGGTAAATGTTTGAAGAAATGTGAAACCCAGGCTGCCCTTCTTTAAATGGAATATGTTGGTATTTGGATATCTTATAAAGACTGAATCAGTGCTGTTGATGACAAAGCAGGACAGACAACAACCCTAACACTTTTACTCTTTGTGTTGTTTATTTATACCTTGAAGACCTGCAGCACAAAGCACCTCATGTTTGTGCAGCATTCAGCACTTTAAAGACTGAATCAGTGCTGTTGATAACAAAGCAGGACAGACAATAACCCTAACACTTTTACCCTTTGTGTTATTTATTTATACCTTGAAGACCTGCAGCACAAAGCACCTCATGTTTTTGCAGCATTCGGCACGACAGCAAAGCCTCTCAGCACGAGAACCACCTGTTGCATTTGTCTAACTCAGTATTGTGCTTTGTTTTAACTAACTTGGCTTATAGGCCTTCATTAGGTGTCCAAGCCAATGGAAATTAAATGTTTTTCCTAGTAAATAAATCCAGGCACAATTATAGAATCATAGAATGCTTAAGGTTGGAAGGGATCTCCAGAGGTCATCTAGTCCAACCCCCCTGCACATGCAGAGTCACGCAGAGCACGTGGCACAGGACTGCATCCAAGCGGGTTTGGAAGATCTCCGGAGAAGGAGACTCCACAACCTCTCTGGGCAGCCTGTTCCAGTGCTCTGTCACCCTCACTGTTAAGAAA